ATTACCAACTATAAAATACAGCGCTAATTGGTGTATCTCGGTTTTAGTGTACCTCAGTCAATGTAATTGAAATAATTCGAATAAATGTTACCTAATTCTCATAAATAATATTATGAGACCTTCACATATTATGTCTTTATTAAGGGGCAATATTTAGGCAAATRTTTCATGGCRCCGTTCATAGATTATGTTCGTCGTCAATGATGATTTAATTCTAATCAGTGTTTCTTAATCCATGTTCCACGGAACCCTAGGGTTCTTCGAAGATCACTTACGGGTTCCACGAAAGTTTAAAATCGCAAGAGAGAGAGACCGCCAGCGGGCGGTACTCTAAAGATAATTTTCAAAGAGGTTCCGCATGAAAAAATATTATTATTTGGTGTTCCGTGATATCAAAAAGGTTGAGAAATACTTGTTTAGAATGTGTGTGATTGTATATGTATCTTAGGGAAGTTTGATTTGTTTGATTTTTTTTTTTTTTGCTAGAAAAAGGATAAATTTCTGCAAGGTGCATTAGAATTTGATTTTTAATTTGATTGCTTATAACAAATAATAATAATAACAACAAAAGCTTGTGAAAATTGGCTCTATTCAAAACTGTTTAATATGGTTCAGAAATAAAATTTTGAATATCCAAGTCCAATGTGCCCTGTAAAAGTGTTTCTCTTTCAAAAAAAAAAAAATAATAATAATAATAGCGTGAGTTTAAAACACGCGTTTGAGCAAAAAAATAGGCAACGTTTAGGTTAGTAAACATAAAATCTTCATAAATATAAAAGTAGTATGCAACGAAAGCCGACAAAACACCAACGTGCACAATTCAGTGTTCACAGTCACAGTACACTCTGACGAATGACCGGCGCAACTTGTGCGGATGTTGATCATTAAACACGTTAACTGTAGTATTTTTAATATTAAAATAATCTATGTAAAATATTTCTATATTAATTGGTAGATTACCATTTCAACMAGCCTTTATTTAGGACAACGACAGAGTGCGTAAATGATTTTATAATTTATGAATGACGTAATATGAACATTTCTCGTAAACAATACAATATTAAAGGTATATTTTAAACAAAAAAACGAATTCCAGTTCAGTTACTAAAATTAAAAATAAAATCTTGGCTTCTTAAACAACAATATTTTCAATTTTATATGTAATAATAAATTTAAGATATAATAGATTACTCGAAGGAGTATTTGGTACAAYATTGTGAAAAAATATCGCTTAATTATTTAAAWGATCTCCTAAATTCCTAAAAGCTGTTATCTTTAAATACAATACGCTCTCTATCCCTCCCTCTATCACCAGAAAAATAAATGGAAATTCGGGTGACTTGATGACACCCAGGAAAAAAAATAGAAATTGGAACATATAAAAAATAACGGAACATAAGGATTTAGGTTTTTTTTATTCCTTGAAATTGGTAAAAAATGACCAAAAACTAATAATGCCTTAAAAATGTTTTATTCCRTCTTGGAAAACATCGTGGTAAGCATTCTAGAAAAAATTAATAAATGCATCAAAATTTAAAACCMTATTATACTAAAAACCATCTACATCAACTGTCATTTCTCCAAGCACTTATCACTTTAATTGCATTAAAAAAATATTATTTGCAATACCTAATGGAAATCTCAAAAGTAAACGCATATAAATTTAACTTATAAACTAATTGTTAAGGGTAGATAGAGTAGTTGTATATAAACAGAACAAAAAACTAAATTCTTCTGAAATTATTTTTATTTCAGAAGTAATAAAAATACTATAATTAGTACCATACCATCCCATAACCTGATTTTTCCATAACTAATGTATATTAAATAATATTTTAATGATGACCCAAAGATTTAAAATTAATTTAATGATTGCATTATCAATATATTATGTTGATATTTTTAATCGAATATTAAAATGCTGCAATAGGTCAAATGTATGTATTTCATATGAGTTTGTGTATAAAATAAAAATAATAATAAAAAGTATTACACTATATACCAGAAACTCAAAGTAACTAGCGGGCCACTTTTAAGTACTTTAAAATCTAGCGGGCCGCAATGCATAGGAGAAGGCAAAAAAAAAAAAGGTCCTTTAAAATAAAAAACGGCAGTACGGATATGAGTAAACCGAAAATGAAATAAATACTATGTTAGCTACGCCATTATAAATATATATTTAGACATTTAATAATTTAGTTTCGGTTTAAAACTAGATAAGAATTTATATCCACATTTTATCGAAAAATATAATAAAATAAAATACAGATAAGTGCTAAAATTATATAAAGTAATTTGAAAATGTAGCGCGGGCCAGATAAAAAGGTACGCGGGCCGACAGTTGCCTATCCCTGCTATATACCAATATACCATCGGGTGACATTTTTCTCCGGRCAAGTCACGGTGTCCGGAGAACAAGTTCCGCCATCCCCCACTCCGGGGCATGGCAGAAACCTACGGGTGCCCCAATAGAAATTCTGCCAAATAGGCGTCCGAAATAGGCCTTCGTGCCTACTCCCGGACATAGCGCAATATGAAAAAAAAAACTATATAATAATATTATTATAATACGTTAAATCTTTATACATTATATATTTATATAATTAGATTTTGCTAGTGTATAAAATAAAAATATTATATTATGAGAATTTAGCAGCAATAGATGGCCAATTAATAACTGTATAATTGTTGATAATTCATGAATGCAATTCGAGCTCTTTAAGCTTGCAGGCGATTACATCACCATCCTTTTGGTCTGACTTTTGTTTCTTATGTTTTAATTTCACAATGATACATGTCATGTTATCGACTCCTTTTGAACGGCGTTCWGCTGAGAAACATTTATTGAGTAACTGAAACGAACGGTAGATTGTAAAATTAATAGCCTATTCTGTATCACTAAACGCGATACAATGAAATTGTACAAATAAAATATATTTTTWTGCTCACTTTTTCACAAACTGACGATAACTTTATGCCGGATTCATGGATATGATTTGATATCAAATCTACAGTAGACTGGCTACTTAATGAATCCCATATGCCATCACATCCCAATACAATAAAATCGCCGTCTTCTGCGTTTAACACTCTGGCCTGTACGTCGGGTAGAGCGATAATAACTTGTTCTGTTTCCAAAAGAAAAGTATTCTGTTTGTACATGTGATCACCTATATTATTCATAGCGATTGATTACGTATAATAAAAATATATTATCGAGTTGCAAGTAAAACGTGCGAATAAAACGTTTACCGAAAGCTCGGGATAAATTAAGATCGCGATTGATTCGTCCGTCGAACGTAACTCTTGCTCCAGCTGCATGAATTCTTAATAACTCTGATTTGTCCCTAGGCTTATGGTCTTTTGACATATCAACGGCTTTGGTGCCGTGAACAGCAACGACACACCTGGAGTCTCCTATGTTAGCCACATACAGCTTTTTCTTGTCTACTAATAACGCTACGACTGCTGTGCAACCACTATAAAAGCCATACTGTAAATATAAAAACAATCTTTATAAATAAAAAAATTTAGATAAGATCTTAAATTTTAATGCAAACATTATAATCTCAAGTAAATTATTTAATTTACGCCAATGTTTAACATATTATGTTAAAATAAAATAATCTATATTTAATCGTTTTTTTCTGCAGTTATTAAAAATGTTATATTTATTGTTGAAATAATAATCAGATCCAAATCATGTATTCATGTCTAAAATACATTTTTAAAAATTAATTATTCGGTATCATGCCAAATAAAAATTGTTTATAATTTCATGAAATATCTTAGATATTTACTGTATCGTTATATAAAATACAAATTACTTATTAATATTCACAATCATGCTTGTTACCATTTTGTATATGTCGCTATCATCTTTGACGTCATTGTTGTCAATTTTTTCGTCTGCATTGGCGTCTAAATAAACAAGAAAATTGTAATAGTTTAAATATAGGTTTATATAGATTAATCAGAAAGCAGTATGTGTATGAACCAATTTTAAAATAATAATCATTATGGTAAATGTTATTGAGAAGATAGTCAATATAATTTAAGAAAATTTGAGATTACGCAAATTTGTATAAAACACTATAAACCTAATACAATAAATAAATTTATAACCACCCATATATTTATGTTATTGTTTTCCGAAAACAAAAAGATTTAAAATGTTCATGTATAGTTTCTCTGATTTAATATTGTCTATAGAAATGATATAAAAGTGACTTAATTTGGTTGATTCTTCTTCTGTTAATATCGCAAACGAAACGGCATTACCATTTYCGGCCAAGGCAACATTCAACCGCATTACCATTATATATTTTTTAAACTTACCACCTGCATTAACTGGATCGTCTTGTTCCGCAAGAATTTTCATTCTATCTAAAGCAGTTTTGGAGCGCAAGTATAGATCGAAATYCAGGTACGCGTTTTTCAGAGCATTTTCATAATCACCGACATTAAATGATTGGTTTTTTATCATACCAGGCAAAACTTCAACCGCCAACCGAGCAACTTCAGCACCGCCGTGTCCATCAAATACACCAAAAAGCGACATGTTCTCGTCAAAGTCTAGCAGACTGAAGTGAGCATCCTTAAACAATAATAATAAAATAATAATAACCATATGATGTATTGAAATAATAGATATGTAATTAGAAGACATCTTTCTTACATTCGTTATCAATAGTAAATAGTAAATTAAATTATATGGTTATTATATATATATATATATATATATTATATATATCCACGTATCGTTTAAAGGCCTAGACAGGGATTCCCAAACTGTAGGTCATGATAATATTTTTAGTGGATCGCGTTTCGTTTTTAAATAATACATTTTTTAGACATGTGTTTCTATTATTTTTCGTTGATGTTTAAATTTAATCATTTCATAAATTGTTATCTGCGTTAATGACAATTTAAAATTTACTGTAACTGTGTCGATCAGACGCAATCAGATCATTGTTATTGAAAAAATGGCAATTTATTTTATTTGAAACAAACTGGTAYCTGCATGAAGTTCAAATCAATTGAATATTTCAGTAAYATATGGTAGGTACRTCGAATACGATACACGTACTATCTTACTTTTTTTCAAATTACTAATAAATTATAAACTCGTTTGTTTTTTTTTTGTGCTTTTGTGTTATTACTATGAACAAWTGGTCAAACAAAAAAATCAATGACTTAAAATTCTGCTGAACCTGAAGAAATAGAATATATCTGTATTAACGGTTAAACAAACTTAATTGATGATGAGCTTACTTAAAAAAAAATAAACAAAAAAGGTCATTGATATTATTTTGAGCTGCCAAAATGAAAATCATTTCCAAAATGGGTCGTACAATAACATGTTAAGAAACCTCTGGACTACAACCTTAAGTTTGTTGGGTTCCGATTATGGTTTCGGCTACTGATTTTGGAAAATATAAAATAATCGTCAAGGTTAGGGTTCGGGTAAAAAACAATGCAATGGATCGGTTTSAACTTATTATGTAGATAAAAACAAAATTAATAACAAATGATACCCGGATATGATTAAAAATATAAGTTTAGGTTATTTGAAAATATTTTTTTAGTTTCCGGTTTCTAATATGATTTGGAAATTCTTGTTATAGTTCTATAAACATACATTACACATTAAATTTTTTTTAAATTTAGGTTCGTTGTTCACTGTTAGAAAAACATATGATGTTGGACCTCATATTAGTTATTAACAGGTTAACTGTCTTAGTAAAACAATTTTCAAATTAGATAAAAAACAACATATTTTCGAACAAATTATTTTTTTTTCTCTATAATACAATTTTAATCAATTATTGGAAGTAAAAGTGAAAGTTTTGAAAATAGTAAGAAAGTTGATAGAATCTAAATATTCTATTACCTGGGAGTATTCAATGAATTTGATAATTTTAGAATAAAAAAAACCTCTAAGAGATTCCAGAGTCTTATATTAACTGTAAATTGTATATTGCTGCGTATTGATGAATCAACATTAAACAACGATCATACTGTGTTGTCAGGAAATAAGATTGAATAATAATAAAAGTAGATTATGGTAGACACTTGAATTTAAATAACGATATATTCAAATATATTTAAATAAGACAAAAGTTCAAATGTTACAAATATTTAAAACAGAAAACACACGAAAATACAATAATAATGTATAATAATAAGAAAAACTTCTTCATAGCAGACACCATCGTCTATAAGAAATTAAAATATGGCCTCCATTAAATGGTGTCCACTATTAGGTGAAGTAAACAAAAAATCCGACGGATATTAATGCTTGGGAGCTTTAAAGTGTTCGCTATTAAAGAGGTGTAAAWAAATTACGACCGAAAAAAATGTTGAAATGTGCAATAATAACTGGTATAATAAAATAGACTAACATTACGTTATATAGTTTTGTTAGTGTTCAATATAATAAGTACATTATTATTTACTATTATAATATAGTGGAATTTCGGGGGGGGGGGACTAATAAGACGTTTCAAAAATCCTTCTTACCTTCTATCCCCCCTTACTCTATTTTTGCTTATATTTAACTTATATATAATAATTAATTATTACATCAATTGTGTTGTATTCTTATATTATATAACATTACTTCTTGTCTGACACGCCAACCCTGCATTGAGCTGACCCCACACACCAACGTGTCGTCTTCCATGTCTTCTGAGACCTTCTCCGTTATCGGATTGTCGAGGTAAGTACTCATGATCATCAAAAATATGGATACGAACGACGCTGTTGTATTGTATAACAATAATAACAACGATAGCAATAGTATGTGGGTGAGAGGAGTACAATCTATACGAACGTTAGTCACCCTGTATCGAATGACAACAACTGAAATCATAATGATGACGGTCGGAMGGTGTGGCAGCTGAATTTTTACCCGGCATCTAGATGGGTCAGACTGCCAGAGGGGATATTACAATGGTGTAGTCGACCCAGGTAAGTACAACAGTTAACATAAGGTTAGATATACCTATAATAATATTTTGGGAACATCGATAATTCACGTTTTTTTTTTTTATCGATATGGCACCTACCTAACACGAAAATATCGAAAGTAAACATTGGAATAGAACTAACGATTTTATGTCCTCTGTTAATTTAATATGATGACGATATGAGATCATAATCGATTTTTTTTTTAAAACCAACCTCGAATATTATTATAATTAATGAAACGCCTATTTCGTTAAGTTATGCAAAACGGCCGAGTCATATAGCGTAGGATTTTTTTTTTTCGAAAGATACGATTTATACATTTCAACCGTAAGCTGAACTATACAATAACAGTGTACACATATTATTTATGATTTAAATCTAAGCCCCTTGTATATTATAGATGCACACGGACGTCAAAATAGTTTTAATGCAAGAAAAAAACCGGTTCCTTCTTAGACTGCGGGAATTCGGAATCTCTGACTGCAGCTGCAGGAGATAAGAACTGGTTGCTATGCATGTGTATAATATTATTATGTTCGAATTTAATAAAAAATATTATGGTCTTTTGTAATCGTGTATAATAAAATATCCTTGTCACATCTACACTTGTATCTACATCGTACCTGTATAGTGTATACATGTTCGCATGGATGCAGCTAATACTACTTTCACTACATCTGGCAACTTAATTTGAATTCTGTGAGTGGGCTTATGAATGTTTATTTAGGCGACTTATATGGAGTAATACTCTACATACTATGTATCTCTGAATAATTTAATATTATTGAATTAAAAATAAAATAAAAATAATATGTATTTTCAATGTTGATGGTTGATCAAATGAAAAATTAATAAAATTATTCATCAATGTAAGGAGTTTAAGATAAGTCTGGGTTTTATACTGTTAGACGTATTCACATTCGTTTGACGTATACATACAGACACAACCAATCCCAATGTAAAATACTCATTAAATATCCATAGGCTATAATCAGTTGCATTAGAATTACAAGGCTACAAAGTACTACTATAGTGACCCTATTTGAGGTATCCAGTGGTCACCAAATTCTGAGTCCTATTCAGAAGCAGCGGTGCTTGAAGTCCAGGACCTTTTAGGTACTAATGATGGTTTTTTATTTTGACTATATCTTATATTGATCRTTTTACAATTATTGAAATGTATTAATAAAATACTCGCTAAAATATATATAAATAACTGATGTGTATCAAAAGTAAATGTTGGACTCATACTATTAGTTGTTACCCAAAAATAATAATGAAAAGGTTAATCTGAATTGCAGACCAAATTATATAGTAGAAATATTACCATCAGGTTTTCATATACAATTGTTTCTCGAGATATTTTGTTCAGTCTGTTAACTGTTATTAACTAAATGATTTATGCTCTTCAAATACCAACCGACAGATGTACTTATCAGTAATGTTGTTATAAAACTTGCATCGCAGTTTTTGACTGTACGTACCTATTTAACAAACACTTAGTTACGCATTTTAATAAAAAAGTATTTAAAATCCTTTAAAACAATTAACTCATTATCTACATTATACGGACTACATTATTTTCATATTTAATTTTTAACTTGAAATGTTACGAAAGAATCATAATATACTACTACACATCTGATATACCAATTATCTGTATACAAATTGAGTTGGCTTCCATTTAATAATTATAATTTTTATATAAATATTGATGCCACTGAACGTTCGTGTAATTCARTGTTATAGCAATTTTGTAAAAATAAGGCGCATGCTGCAAAATTTGGCAACGTCGCATAAAAAAAGCAGGTGAAAACGATTGAAATCACATAAGTGCGGAGAGATGTATATTATGTTCGTAAGCGTGTATCATTGAAATATGTATGGCTATTACCTATACTCGGGCTATACTAGTAGGCTCAAATTACCGGGTCGTATAAACAGTCACTAAACATTTAAGAGGGTGCAACACCCGTATTTGTTGTCTCAGTCTTACAAACGCGTAACATAGCAAATTTTGTATTTACGCTCAGCAGTTCACATTTTACTCCGTTAGCTTAGAAATTAGAGTGAATAGACCTATTATGACTTKATGGTAAAAAATTATCTGTGTTTTGTTGGAAGTATTTTACGATAATTCAGTTTTTAAATGAGTTATATGCGTATAATAAATTAAAAATGCTCATAACTCACTTAAAACTGAATTATCGTAAACATACTTCCAACAAACACATATAATTTTCTTACCACCAAGTTTCATAATAGGCATATTCATTCTAATTTTTAAGGTATTGGAGTAAAACGTGAGCTGTATAGCGTGAATTTGCTATGTTACGCATTTGTGAGACTGAGATAACAAACACGGGTGTGGCGCCCTCTTAATGAATYTTTCGTAAATGGTGGTCTTTTCAGCATAATTTAGTAGCCCATTTTTTAGGGCGTAACATGTTTCCGCCAAAAGCAGACCTTTCCCTTTTCCACTAATATCCGTTACCACCAAATGAGATCTACCAATAATTAAACCACGGTTAATTTACCAAAATAATTTGTATACTATGCTTATATTAAAATATTTGATACAGTAATAAGTTTATTAAAAATACTAATGMTAGATTGAAAAAATGATATATTAGTGTATTTAGTTATGTATATATTGTATCTACTTATATATATATAATTGGTTGATATTTTTTTTTCAATCGTAAAATATAGTAGTATACAATTATTTTTGTAAAAACGTGGTAAATAATTTTATTTGGTGGAAACGAGTATTGGTGGAAAAGAGAAAGGTACACTTTTGGTGGAAACGGGCATCACCCATTTTTTAGTGGCATGATTTGTCCGATAAATTTTATTAGTAATGTTCTAATTAACCCCCCMTCCCTAAGAAAGTAGGTATTCCTCTACTACACAGGCATATGACACTCGCATTACAACGCCATTAATACACTTGAATTTTTTATATCCTGATAGAATCTATATATTTTTATAAAATTCAAATTAATTTCAAACGGATGAGGTATTATATTTTTACAATGCGATTCAATCAATCAATAAATCGCCTGAATACTAATATCGTTTATTTGTTTCGTTRACATAAATTATAATATAAAATTTKAAATGAAATACCTACGCAACGTTGCTTAAAAAATCGATGAATAGAATATTAGTTCGTATATCGTATAATAATATAATCATATTTCATCCGACATCGAATGCTAAACGTGCTAATCGTACTAAACCTGAGAAGTGATAAATACTTTCTTGGCGGATGTAAACTATACAACAGTAYCTTTTACCACTACCATTTTATCGAACTRTTAAATAAAAAAATTATTTATGCAACCTGGGTTTTTATTATTATGTCTATGTTTTTAAAATTTAAGTGGAAATGTAGGACTACTCCATTGCAATGTACCTGGGGCTCCACATTCCTAAATATGGCACCTTAATATATGTTAATAATATATTGATATAATTGATTCATAGATAGACTATTGCATTAAGGAAGTACGTTAGCTGTTTTATGTAGGTACTGCCAAGGACGGTTAAAAACATGTGGTACTTATATCAGACAAAAATCTTTTGAACACCTATGTCCATATAATATTATTATATCGATATAACCATAGCYTATTAGCAATTATCCAATTGGATACGCCTCTAACAATGAATTCCGAGAAGCGCGTCGTCTTTTTTTGTGTCAGTGAGATGGTGTGAGAGAGTGGGTGGTGAGAGCTGTACCGGCGCGGCGTGCACCTGTCCAGGCATCGTCTTTACACGTCGTATCTCCTACTCCTCTCCTCCTCCTTCCCATCTGAAAACTACATAAAATGAACAGATGTTGAATATACCTTTATTTTAAACTACAATTTAACATGGCACTCGTATGAGGTTTCAGGCCTAATATTACATTTWTATGATTATATTTTATTATGAAGGAGGTACCTACGATCGACTAAGAATGTAATCCTTGTCATCATATTATTACACTCGTTATAGCATTATATTTTTTATTTTTTTATCGGCTATATCTAAAATAGTGATGATGATAATAAAAATAAAAATWATATATATTCTACTTAATACTTATATTATGCTCGTTTTGGAGAACGCTGAAAAACCCATCTGAACGCAATTAAAATTCCTTGTTGCGTCACACGCAGTGTCCATTACTATTTCAATTAATATAATATAATATAATTATTATGCAACCATCGAACGCTTTTCGTGTATGCTAACAAAGTTGAATACATAATATAGCTTTGATATTAGCTAGGTAAAACATAATAATTGGTAAATAATTATTATACTTATAACGAGGCGTAAACCGCGAAAACCGCAGATCCGAAAGGATTCGAATGTCACTGATGTAGTGACGGATCTATTGACCATTGAACAAAATTCAAGACAACGGTAGGGCGATGGGCTTATATTATATAAGAATGACTATAGAAATTAAATATTTTCAAATGTGTAATATGCCCACGTAGTTTGTATACTTATGGTATGTAGGTACATAAATTATTCTAATATCGTAAATAATTGCGACAACATTATATAACACGGGACCGTTATGTCTGCTACATAGATATAGTTAGGAATACTGTGGCAGTAAGTAACGCTTTTATCCAAATTTTAACTAAAAAGTGTATAATTAACGATGTTGCGAGAACTAGTGMATAATATATCAATTTAAAAATTTCGAAATCATTATATTATTTTGTTATTAAGAAACATTTTCTCACAATGATGTCACTTAAAACTATTTTATTTTTCATCAGAAATGRTTAGAAAAAAATCTCTAAAATATAAATATTAAAAGATTTTTAGAACTTAAATTTT